ACAGCAACAAAAAAATTAAGCCAGTGTGGTGGCACACACCTTTAGTCCCAGCACTTGGGAGGCAGGGGCAGGTGGATCTCTGTGAGATTGAAGCCAGCCTGGTCTACATACTGAATTTCAGGCCAGCTGGGGCTACAGGGAGACCTTGTCTCAAAAAAGAAACAAAAAACAACAAAAGTTATTCTTGGCTTCCACGCCTTTAATCCCAGCACTCTGGAGGCAGAGCAGGGGATCTCTGTGAGTTCGAGGCCAGCCTGGTCTCCATAATGAATCCAGGACATCTGGGGCTACAGGGAAACCCTGTCTCAAAAAAAAAAAGACCAAAAAACAAAAGTTATTCTTGATCGAACACTATCTGTGTAGCAGGTGCACCAGTAAATCTCTTTGAATCTTCCTGAAATACTGCAAGCCAGCAGCAGTTTACATGTGAGAGGAGGGGAACTGATTTGCTCAAGGTCACAGATACGGTGCTGCAGAGTCTCTGGATTTGAACCTAGCTCTCTGCACAACTCACCCATGCCTTTCACCCCCATGCTTCCGGTCCCTGCATCAGAACTAGGGTTCCACCTCTTTTTCCATGCCTGAAATACTTCAGACTGAGCATTCTACTGGGTACAGCACTGAGAGGAGATGCAGCAGAAAGCAGACGAGGAAATCATGTCCTAGGATAGATAGAGGCCTGCGGGGACACCGAGGGCTGGTTTGGGAAGATCTCCTGAAGAAGGAGGGACAAAAGACCTAAAGGGAGGCCTGCAGGATGCTTGCACCTTAGGGTGGAACAGCTTTCATAGAGGGTGCAGCATGTACAAAGGCCCAGAATACAATGTTTGAAGGACCCCACAGGTGCATGTGCCTGGAATGTCATAAGGCATATGTGGGGAGGTGGGTGGGGCTAGACCTTGCACTGGAAGGAACAGGCTTCACTTTTGAGCAGGGAGCTGTAGAAGGGGTTGGTAGGGAGCAGGATGAGGTCAGCATGTGCTACAGTTTGGGGGGGATGGAGAGTCGAAGCCTGGATGGAAAGGAACAGAGGTGAAAGAGCAGCTCAGATCTGGTGACGGCTGGGACCTGGAGGGTAGGGCAAGGAAGAGTGAGCTGGAGGATGAGTGCTGGGTGGGGCCATCAGTGGGTGTTGATGAACCTCAGAGACCTTGGGCAAGCTGCTCTGTGTCTGGGTTTGTCATGTCACCTGGTAGGGACAGTCACATCTAACCTGATGCCTGGCAGGTCAGAGGGCTGTTGCAGTGACAGGAAATGGCTGCTCAGTACATGCTGCTTCCTTCTTATTGGCAGAGGAAGCTGATGTGGGGAAATGTGCAGAGCCATTCCAGGGACCAGAGCTGGCTAGTTTTCCTGTGGGCCTGTGCTAGGTCTCTTGCATGCCTAAGGGGTAGCCTGTGCTGGGTCTCTTGCATGCCTAAGGGGAACCTGAGAGCATGTCTGAGGGTGAGCTGGAACAGCCCCCACACTTAGCTGAAACAGAAAACCCTCTCTAGGTCCTTTCCCACAGTGGGCTGTACCTAGGCTTTACCCTCTTTCTCTGCTGCCCTGGCTGGGAAGGTTCCCTTGGAAATTATCCCAGATGTTCCCTTGGTGCTTTGAGGGGACTGACTCTCTACCTAGCCCTGACCGTTCAACCATGGTGTGACCTCTTTTCTCTGTTTTTCTTGCCTGCAGGTAGCCTCCGTGGCTACAACATGGCAGCCCCAAGTCTGGCGGCTCCCAGCCTGCCAGCACCCCAGCTGACCACCCCAAATCTGCAGCAGTTCTTTCCCCAGGCCACTCGTCAGTCCCTCCTGGGCCCTCCTCCTCCTATTGGAGTTCCCATGAACCCTTCCCAGCTCAGCCACTCAGGGAGGAACCCTCAGAAACAGGTCCGGACATCCTCTTCCATCACTGTCAATCGCAAGGTGAGTAGTGCTTTGTGTGGAGTAGATGTGGAAGAGGGAGAGGAGGGACAGGGACAGGGAAAGGGAGAGGGGACACCCCAGTATCAGCCCAACACCATCTGCTTGGACTCATGCTGGCCCTCAGGCAGGTCACACTTTCTGTCTGTGCCTCAGTGTCCTTGTCTGTAAACTGAAGATTCGGGATGTTTAACATCTCCCAAACTTCAAATATCTATGCCCCTGACGTGATTTTTACCAAACCCAAATATACCGCATTATTATTTACCTAATATCTCTCTTTTTAAAAAATTTTATTTCTGGGGCTGGAGAGATGGCTCAGCAGTTAGGAACACTGGCTGTTCTTGCAGAAGACCCAGGTTCAAATCCCAGCACCCACATGGCAGCTAACAACTGTCTATAACGCCAGCTCCAGGGATCCAACATCCTCTTCTGTTCCCCACGGGCATTGCACGACATGGGTGCACTTACCTACATGCAGGCAATGCACAAATACACATAAAATAAATTAATAAATAAAATTTTTTAAAAAATTATTTCTTTTTACGTTTAGTGTGTGTGGCATGCATGCCAAGGTGGGCACGTGGAGGTCAGAGGACATCCTGTGGGAGTCAGTTCTCTCCTTCTACCATGTGGGTCCTGGAGATCAAACTCAGATCGTCAGGTTTGGTGGCAAGTGCTTTTACCCAGTGAGCCATCCCACCAGCCCCATTAACATTTCTCTTTACATCAGCAGCGCTCAGTAGAAATAAAATATGAGCCACATATATGATTTTTCTTTTTGAGTCAGGGTCTCCCTGTAGCCCCAGATGGCCTGGAGCTCACAGAGCTCTGCCTCCCTCTGCCTCCCAAGTGCTGGGATTAAAGGCATGCACCATCATGACTGGCTAAGCCATGTATATGATTTAAAATATTGTTAACCATGTTAGAAAGGTAAAAAGAGCAAGGCATGAGGCTGACATCTATAATCCCAACCATTAGGAGGTTGAGGTAGAAAGATCACTGGAATTTCCAGGCCAACCTTGGCTATATAGTGAGTTCCAGGCCAACCTGAGCTATATAGCAAGACCTTGAAAAATTAAAAATAAAAAGGAACAGATAAAATTAATTTTACTGCCAGGTAATGTACTACATACCTGTAATCCCAGCAAGTAGGAGATGTGGGCAGAAGGATCAGAAGTTCACAGTCATCCTCAGCTACATAGTGGGCTACTTGAGACCCTGTCTCAAAACAAACAAAAATGAATAAAATAAAATAAAATTAATTTTACTAATATATTTTATGGAAAATATCATTTTGACCTGTAGTCAGTATAAAAAATAAATGAGATAGTATGGCTTTCATGGGTTCAAGCATTCACCTTGCCACATACAGAAAGACTCAGAGATTCATAAAGAGAATCTCCCCCACCACTACCTTTGTCCTGTCCTTGAGTGTCCTTAGCTCTTTGCACACAATCCACTTCCAAGTATATTCTAGGGCATGGGCAATGCCCCTTACCTAGTTGCTGTGGTCCTCCTGTATCTGGTGACAAAGTATTTCCCTCCAGAGAGGGAGGGCCCCGGCCTCCACCATTGGGGCAGGCTGGCACAGGATAGTCTTGTTTTGTGTTGGTCTGCCCATGGCCCTGTTTTATATGAGGAAGGCCCAGAGTCCAGGCCTCCTGACTCTCAGGCTGTTTTATAGGGCAAGAGCTAGGTAGCTTCTGAGGGGCCTAGAGTCCTGATATGGAAGACAGATTGCATTTCCCGCTCAGTGCTGGTGCTGAGGCTTCAGTAGGGGAAGAGGAGGAGGCTGCAGGAGGTACCCAAGAACTGGCTGGAGCCCTGTGCTCATTGGACAAACACCTTTAAGCCCCTGGTCAGCAGTGCAGATTTGGGATAGGAGGGGAGTGGGGAGGGGGCAGAGGCCGAGGGTATGAGAGTGGGGAGGGATGAGCAGAGAGCCCCAGGGCTACAGGAGGGTTTAAGCCTGAAAGACCAGGGACACAGTCGAGTTTGCACCTTGAAGGCTCCCTCTGACTGCTTGTGGAGCAGCCAGTAGGAAAGTCTGGATGGCCAGAGTGGTCAGAAGATTATGTCTCCTCAGCCCAGGTTCATGTAGCAGTCGGGCAGCTAGATGGTGGCCCCGGACTCAACTCTTGGGGTGTTTCAGATCATTTGCCCTCTCCAGCTCTGGAGCCAGCCCCCTTCAGTCCTTTGAGATGGTGACAGTGGCTCTTGGGCAAGAGCGTGTTTGCACATGAGGGTGGTGGATGTAAAAAATGTTTCCTGGGGGCTGGAGAAATGGCTCACCAGTTAAGAGCAGTGGCTGCTCTTGCAAAGGACCCTGGTTCGGTTCCCAGGATCCACATGGCAGCTAATAACCGTCCATAACTCCAGGGGATCTGACATCTTCTGACTTCTGTAGTTGTTGCATGACACAGGTGCACTTACACACATACAGGCAATACACTCATACACATAAAATAAAAATAATTTTAAAAAATGATTTCTGAAAGGAAGCAGGATTCTTCTTCTCAGACAGTGCCTGTGGAAGACCAGGAAGACCCCACAGAGGGGTCTGAGGAAGCCACAGAGCTCCAAATGGACACACCTGAAGGTGAGAGGTGGAGGCTGCTGTCCTTTACAGGGCACTTTAGGGCAGTAATGAAAGCACATACAGGGGTTGGTGGGGGGTGAGTTAGTGGCAAGTGACCCAGGGTCATTTCTTGGAGCCATGTTCCCTTACCTACCTCCACTGCAGACCGAGAGTCACCAGTCTGCCCAGACGGCACTGTGAGTGAGAAGAGCACCCCAGCACCTGAGCCTTTTGAGGCATTGGAGCCACCAACCAAGAGGTTGAAGAAGTGAGTGATGCTGGGAGGCTCAGGCCCTCGCCCCTGCAGAGTTAGGGCTGGTGGGGGAAGGGGAAAGGCCTTGGCCTTTGGCCTGGAGGAGAGTCAAACTCATTCTGTACCTACCTGAGGGGTAGGACAGGGACACTCCAAACACACCCTGGTGTTCTCATTGGAGTTGAGCCACCCGGAGGCAAGGATGAAGGGGTGAAAATGTGCACCTGGGACTCTATAGAATGGCCAGAGGGCAGCAGATTTACAGGGCTAATTCAAAACATGTGAGAGGCTAGAGAGATGGTTTGGTGGCTACTCTTGCAGAGGACCTGGGTTCTGTTCCCAGGACACAGAAGGTGGCATTCCCAGCACCCACATGATGGCTAATAACCACCTGCAACTCCAGTTTCAGGGGATCCACCACCCTCTTTTAACCTATGTGGGCATTGCACACATATGGTACATTTACATACATACAGGCAAAACATTCATACACATAAAAAAATAAATATAACAAAAAAAATATATATATATTTTGGTCTTTTTGAGACAGGGTCTCCCTATAGCCCCAGCTGTCCTGGAATTCACTATGTAGACCAGGCTAGCCTTGAACTCACAGAGATCCACCTGCCTCTGCCTCCTGAGTGTTGGGATTAAAGGCATGCGCCACCATGCCTGGCTTAACAAAAATAATTTTTTATAAAAACATATTGCAGGGCTTAGAGAGATGGCTCAGTGGTTAATTGTACTGACTGCTCTTGCAGAGGACCCAGGTTCAATTCCCAGCACCCACATGGTGGCTAACAACTGCCTATAACTCCAGTTCCAAAGGATCTAGAATGCCTTCTTCTGCCTTCTGTGGGCATTGCACAACATGGGTGCATTTACACACATGCAGGCAATATACTCATACACATTAAAAATAAACAAAAAACAACATGTTGCAAGTTGAAGCGGTCAGTCAATGCTTCCAAAGCCTTCGGTGAAACTGAAGCCTAGACAGCTTCAGAGTTTGTCCAAATCCCCCATTTTAAGTAGGAGAATTAGAAACTGGGTGTTAGCCTTTCTTGGGTCCCCTCAGCCCTCTTGAAAGATGTAACTTTGATCTTTGGATCTTTCTCAGCTCAGAGGAGTCCACAGAGAAGGGGCCTCCAGGTCAGCAGCAGGCGAAGGTCCAGCCACAGACTCGGATGACAGCACCAAAGCAGACACAGACACCGGAGCTGTTGCCTGAGCCACCAGGAGCCCAAGGGCTTCTGCAGATCCAGACCCAGGTGCAGCCACAGACTCAGCTACAGCTGCCTCCGGGGGACACCCATGTGCAGCCACAGCTGCAGAAGCAGGCCCAGACACAGACCTCTCCAGAGCACTTAGCGCCTCAGCAGAAACACACGCAGCCACAGGTACATCCCCAGTCCCCCTGGCCAGTGCAGCTGCAGGAGACAGAGCACAAAAGTAAGTGCAGACAGGGGTCCAGCCCCAGTCCCTGTGGCAGATGCAGCCACGGCTGCAGAAGCAAGCCCAGACACAGACGTATCCACAGGTATACACCCAAGCACAACCACAGGAACAGCCTTCAGGACAGGAGACAGAGCAGACACCAGAGCAGACTCAGGGCCAGCCTCAGACCCAGCTGCAGGGGTCAACATCTGTACCAGAGCAAATGGGAATTCCAGCCCATGCCATGGAAGCGGAGACACCAGAAGCCAGGGGAGGTGAGTGGGCATTGGCTCCCAGTCAGTTTAGTGACGGGCCCGCTCTGTCTGGACCTTTTTTTCTTACCTTGGCACTGTCCAGCCTTGATTGGGTCCTTCTGGGGACTGAAGGCTGGGTCTGGAGCCTAGGTCTGGGGCCATCCCTATCTGGGACTCCAAAGTCCTCTCGACTCTGGGCAGAAAAGGCAGCTCTTGGGCCTAAGTCCTTCTGGGCCCCAGGTGGCAGACACACTCTGGGAGAGGAGGATATCTGTCATTTCAGGGCTGGAGGAGGCCTCGCCAGAACCTGTGGGTGCCCAGGTCAGCAAGGACATGAGCCGGGAGGAGTCAGCCGGTGGCTTGGATGTGGGAGAGTGTGAAAAAAGAGCGAGAGAGATGCTTGGGGTATGTACAAGCCTGTGTGCGGCCACAAGAGGACCCACGGGCCTAGCTGTGACATGACATCTGTTTGCCCCAGGCTGCCTCAGGGGCCCCTTGTGTTTCCCCATCTGTGAAGGGACAGCCCTGTGCCTGGCTGCATGAGTGAGCCACAAGCTCATTCTTCTGTTGTATTGTATTCAAGTACCTTTGCTCTTTAGATATGCTTTTGATGACAAGTCCTTTCTGGTCTGGCCAATCCCAATCTAGAGTCCCCAGTCTCCTCACATCGATGATGTCACTTTAGTGGACAGAGTAGAAGCCTCTCTGTGGGACTTGGGCCCCAACTCTACCATATAGCATAACTGCAGGCCAGCCTCTTCTCTTCCTTGGGTCTGTTTCCCCATCTGTCACTCGAGGGGTAACAGGAGTTGGACTTCAGAACTAAGCAGATCCATCAGGTATGGTGGCTCACACTTTTAATCCTATTACTTGGGAGGCAGAGGCAGGTGGATCTCTGTGAGTTCGAGGCCAGTCTGGTTTACATAGATAGTTCCAGGCCAGCCTGGGCTACATAATGAGAATTGTCCAAAACAAAAAAATGTAAGCAGATCTAGGTTCAAATCCTGGTTCACGTACTCTCTATGTAGCCTCAGCAGTCCCCTAAAGCCCCAAAGCCTCAGTTTCCCTGTCAGTAAGCTCTGATGAAACAATGCTCACAGATGTTTTCTGTTGGGGCTGGCCCACCATCAGCACCCAGATGGTGGAAGCTCTGTCTCTACTTCTGCTATAGATGTGGGGTGCCGGGGGCTCCCTGAAGGTCACCATCCTGCAGAGCAGCAACAGCCGGGCCTTTAGCACCATACCCCTCGCACCTGGACCACGCTCCGGAGACTCTAGCTCTGCCCCTTCCGGCACTGCCAGCACACCTGCCAGGCAGACCCTCCAGTTCTTTTGCTATATCTGCAAGGCCAGCTGCAGCAACCAGCAGGTGCTTAGCCCAAGAGGAGGGCTGGGATCTGCAGGCCGTCCTGGGCCTGCCCTTTCTACACTGCCCAGAAGCTGCACAGGGCCCTGGAGCCTGCTCTCATCAGCTGGGTATCTACTTAGAAACATTTCCTGATCAGCCTACTGGGCTAGTTCTTAGGGTCAGGCAGACCTGGTTCAAATGCTCTGACCAGCTATAGAGGTTTCAAAAAGTAAATTCCACTTCTGGGTCTGTTTCTTCCTACATCAGATGAAAACACACCAGAGCTCACTTTCCTGAGTAGATCTGGGTTGGGGGTGGCTCAACAACCTCACATTGAAGTTCTGGGTCCACACCTGACACAAGTGAATGTAGGTAGCATTAATAATAACAGTCTTAGCTGGGTCTGATGGTACAGGCCTGTGATTCCAGTGACTTGGGAGGCTGAGGCAGGAAGATCAAGACAAGTTTAAGGGCAACCTGGTCAGTAGAGTGAAACACTGTCTCAAAATAAAAAAGAGAGAGTCAGGATATAGTTTAATGGTAGAGCCCTTGCTTAACATATGTAAGGCAGAATAAATAATAGTCTTGGCTGGGTGCATTGTTAGTGATTGGTACTCACCTGCAGTTGCTCCCAGCTATTTGGGAGGTCAAGGAACAAAGATCACTTGAGCACATGAGCTTTAGACCAGCCTAGGAAACAGAGCAAGAACTCAGAATCCATCTTTTCTTATAACCATTGCCACCTCTGACTGTGCTCCTGGGCTGAGCAGCACCATGGAGCACTATGTTAGAGCATTCCTTATCTTTGAAGCACTCCCACAGTCCCTGGGAGGGGCAGAACCTCCAGCTGGTGTGTACTCCCTCTCTGCCTCTGTTTACCTTCCCCGCTCAGGCCCCCATTGATCCAAGTAAGAGAACTGGCCTTTAAGAGATGCAGGGTGGCCAGTTGTGTTGGGCACTGGTAGGACATGCTGAAGGGGTTGAGGGGGGAGAATTTGGGGTGCAGGGTGGCTGTAAAGCTGAAGCTGGACTTGTCCTCCCTGGGGCTGTGCCTCACGGCCACCCCTGGTTCCCTCATGCTGCAGGAGTTCCAGGACCACATGTCAGAGGCTCAGCACCAGCAGCGGCTTGGGGAGATACAGCACTCGAGCCAGACCTGTCTTCTGTCCCTGCTGCCCATGCCCCGGGATGTCCTGGAGAGAGAGACGGAGTGAGTAGGGGCTGGTGGAGGCTCAGGGTAGACAGGCAGTCTCACAGGCCAGGCCCTGACTGTACCCTCTGCAAGGTGTGCCTGGGGATTAAACATTGCCTTGAACACCATTAACTCTGTGACCTTGTAGGCTCAGTTTACTGCATCTATAAAATGGCCTGGTGAGGGGTGTAGTGACAGTCTCTTAAGATTTCTTCCAGGTAAGAACAGTGTCTGTTCTGTCCTGTGGAAGAGAGGTGGGTTGTAGCAAAGAGCCCTGCTTCTCTGGTTTGTGTGCTGACCAGAGAGACACAATGGTGAAGGTCAGGCCATCTTGTGGCCTAGAGTTAGACCTTCCCTGAATTCTCCTTTCTTTGTCACAGGTGTGTGTGTGTGTGTGTGTGTGTGTGTGTGTGTGTGTGTCTGATCTGAAATGCCCACCCTCCTGGAGTCTGGGACTAGCACTTGGGTTGAGAGGGCCCTGTGGGAGTCTGGATGAACCCCTAGACCCCAGTCTGCAGGGCTGGGAGGCATCATTGGAGACAGCAAGACTATTGGCTCTGGCCCTGGGACACATGGACAGCTTCCTCAGCTCTAGAGCTCCTAGCTTTTCAAGAGAATCCAGAAGCCCATGTGAAGCATCACAATTTCAGAATTTGTGAACAACAGAGCCCAATGTGGCAGCATCAACTTGTGATGCTAGTACTTGGGAGGCTACGGCCAAAGAATCAAAAGTTTAAGTGACATGGCGAGACCCTATCTCAGAATGACAGTCCCCTGTAGAGGACAAGTGAAACAATGTCACAGGCTGACAGTTGTCACAGGTCAATGGTTGGATGCTCTAGAGGACAGGGGGATAGCAAGGACTCTTGGCTTTGTTTTTGTGCCTGGCTGACAGGGAGCTCATCTGTTAGCTGGTTTTCACTGAGAAAGAGCTTCCTTCTGTGTTTTTATACTAACTGAGACAATCACACACAGGAGGAGGACGACTCACCAAAATGTTCTTTGTAGTTACATAATGATGGAGCCAGGCATGGTGGCACACGCCTTTAATCTCAGCACTCAGGAGACAGAGGCAGGTGGATGTCTTGTGAGATTGAGGCCAACCTGGTCTACGTAGTGAGTTCCAGGCCATCTGGGGCTACCAGGAGACACTTTCTGAAAACCCGAAAACAAACAAAAAAACATAATGATAGAAAAATTGACCTGGGGAGATTGTTTAGTCAGCTGCCTGCTATATAAGCATGAGGACCTGAGTGTGATCCCCAGCACCCATGTAAAAAGCTGGGTGTGGTGGCACACACTTGTAATCTCAGTGCTGGGGAGTCAGAGGCAGGTAGATCCCTAGACCTCACTGGCCAGCCAGCCTAGCCTAATCAGTGACCCCAGTCACAGTGAGAGACCCTGTCTCAAAAAAACAAGGTGGACAGTTCCTGAGGAACAGCACCCAAGGTTGACCTTAGGCCTCCACACATGTGAACCCATACACACCTATGCACCCATGCACACATGAACACACATATGCACAATAAAAAATAAGTATAGGTTTTTTTAATCTTTTTTTTTTTTGGTCTTTTTGAGACAGGGTCTCCCTGTAGCCCCATTTGTCCTGGAACTCACTATGTAGACCAGGCTGGCCTTGAACTTACAGAGATCCACCTGCCTCTGCCTCCTGAGTGCTGGGATTAAAGGCGTGCACCACCACACCTGACTAGGTTTGTTTAATCTTATGCCTGAATTTCTAGTAGGTAGAATTTATTTTGAAGTAAGATAGAAAGGAAGAGAAAAAGGCTCGTTTCTTGGGGCAGGAGAGGTGGCTCAGTGGTTAAGAGTACTAGCTGCTCTTGCAGAGGACCCAGGTTTGATTCTCAACACCTACTTGGCAGCTAACAACTGTCCATAATTCCAGTTCCAGGAGAATTCAACTCCCTCTTTTGACCTCTGCAGGCATTGCAGGACATGGGTACACTTATATACTACATGCAGGCAATATACTCATACACATAAAAATAATAAAAAAAATTTAAAAGCCTAGTTTATAAATGCATAGCAAATTGGCCTGATGTTATTTATTGCAAAATCTATGATTTTCAATAGTAGTTTATTGGAAGGTTATTTCTTATCAATATCTGAACCTGTTTTGGACTTTCTAGTCTTTCCCATCGACCTACTGTTCATTCATATATCATGGTATACATCTTTGACTATTGTAGATAATGGTTATGGCTTAGTGGCTAGCATCCTAAATACTTTTAAATATTATCCCCAACATACACATACTTCCATAGTTATTCCTGATTAAGTATTCACACAGTGAACCTCACAACTATTTTGTTGTTCCCACAAAAGATTCTATAGAATTGCATTACTCTTTTATCTTTTTTTTTTTTTTTTAATGTGTATGAGTGTTTTGCTTGAATGTAAGTGTACTATGTGCTTGCACTACCTGTGGAGGCCAGAAGAGGACATCAGATCCCCTGGAATTGGAGCTAACAGATGGTTGTTAGCTCCTACATGGGTGCTAGGAACCAAACCTGGGTCCTGTACAAGAGCAGCCAGTGTCTTAACCTTTGAACCATCTCTCCAGCCCCTTTTCCTTGTTTTTTTTTTTTTGGTGCTGGGACTAAAACCCAGGCCCTTGTAGCATGCGCCACATACCACTGAGCCACACCTCAGACCCTGAATTGCATTACTCTTAAGGAGTGCTCTGGGAGAGCACTCTGGGAGAACATAGTGTCACGCTGTGTTTGCTTCCATTGTCATTCAGGGACCCTCCACTGAAGCGCTGGTGTAACACCTGTCAGCTGTGCTATGTGGGAGACCTGATCCAGCACCGCAGGACACAGGCCCACAAGGTCGGAGCACCCATTCATGTGCTGCAAAAGCACCTGCAGTGTCCAAGGTCCAAACCAAGGGTGGGGGGTGTGTGCCCTCTGGTGAGCCAGTTATGTTCCTCTTTGGGCTTTATCTTCCCATCAGTTTAGCACAGGCAATGTCCCACCTTGCTATTCAGCCCCTGGGCTCATGGGGTGCCTTTGGTGGCTGCCCTCCCTCCTATCCTGTCTCTATTGCCACCTGCCATCACACACTGGGAAGAGTCATGGTTTTTGCTTGTCCCAGTGCAGGGGCTAATGCTCAGATGACCTGTGGTAGGTCTGAAGGTGGGAAGTGAGGTCTCGCTGCCTGCCTGGTCACAGACTAAGGTGGCTTGTACCTGAGGAAGGCAGCACCACATGGTCTGCCTTCCTTTCTCCAGATTGCCAAACAATCCCTGCGGCCCTTCTGCACTGTGTGCAACCGCTATTTCAAGACTCCTCGAAAGTTTGTGGAGCACGTAAAGTCCCAGGGGCACAAGGACAAAGCCAAGGAGGTAAGCCCAGCTGCACCAGAGGACGGTACAGAGCCTTTCCTCGAATGTCACACAGCAGGTTGTGGGCCTGGGACCCTCAGGGGTGTGTGAGTGCCTCCGCTGCTCATAGCTGACCTGAGCCCCTCGCCTATGCCCCTGTGTAGCTAAAGACACTTGAGAAGGAGATAGCCAGCCCAGACGAGGAGCACTTCATCACAGTGGATGCCATTGGTTGTTTTGAGGGTGATGAAGAAGATAAGGATGAAGAAGAGATTGAAGTTGACGAGGAATTCTGCAAGCAGGTGTGTCAGGTGGGCTGTTGGAGGCCAGCAGAGCCCAGAGAGGCCCTCACAATCCAAGACCTAGGCACTGGGCTAGCGGGTTTAAGCACTAATGCAGTCCTGCAGTTTATTATTATGGACGGTGTTGCACATGATCATGGAAATAAGCATGATGGTGGCAGGTGGAATGTGCAAAGGCTTTAAAGCCTGGCTGAGATACTGGCCTGTGTAGAAAAAAGGCATCCCAACCAGGCACAGAGGACATGCTTCCACAGACATCTGCAGCCCCCTGAGGCCTGGTGTAGGATTTCTCATGCTGTTTGTAGACAATATAAAACAAACACAGGTGGATTGGGGGGGGGTAGCAGAGGAATAGGGATAGAGCACATTGGTAGAGTGCTTCCACCCACCAGGAGTCAGCCTCCCTGCTCTTCCACAAAGCAGCTGCCACCCCTCTCCCTTGGGCAAATGTGCTAATGACTCTGGAGTTTCAGTTTCTGTGTTTGTAAGGTCAAAACTAAACATAGAGGGCTACTTCAATGCACTAAGGCCGTGTTGAGATCACCTGGCATGGGTTATAGTCAGTGGGAAGCAGGAAGGCTGCCTGGAGGAAGGAGCTGAGTGGTGCCCGGAAAAGTGTACATTGGAAGGGCACTTGGGGAAGCAGGATTATCAGCATATGCTGAGGCTTGGGGAATGCCACCCTCAAGTACCTGCAAGCCAAGAGAATGTTCTTGAGACCATGGGTAGGCTCCAAGGCCCCTGACCTATGCCCAGGTGGGGCCTGAGGTGCCACATCTGAGGCCCTCATTCTCTCTCCAGGTGAGGCCCAAAGATATATCCTTAGAGGAATGGAAGGCCTCAGAGACTTACAGCCCCAACACTGCATATGGTAAGACCCCAGTCATGGGTCCCTCTAAATGACCTCTAGTCCCAACCACAGCACTCCAGCCAGGTAGCCCATCCCCTGGTCCCTTCCTCCCACCTAGGGAGGGCGGGGCATCTCACTGCTGAGAGGAACTTGCAGAGCCTGGTTTCCGTCCCACAGGTGTGGACTTCCTGGTGCCAGTGATGGGCTATGTCTGCCACATCTGTCACAAGTTCTATGACAGCAACTCAGGGGTGCAGCTCTCCCACTGCAAGTCCCGGACCCATTTTGAGAACCTGCAGGTAGGTGGCTATCTGACTGCTCTATCCAGGGATGCTGCCTCTGTCCAACCTGATTGGGACGGTCAGCAGTACCCTCCTTTGTGCTTAGCAAGGAAGGAATCAGGTTTGGCTTTTTGTTGTGTGGGGGGAGTGCTGGTGCTAGTAATGCTTCTAGCCCTAGCACCTAGAGAAACTGAGAGCATCACACAGGGTCACACTGCATGTGGATGGTGTCTTGCCTGGGATTGGGAAGCATTTGCTGGCCAGGAGTGCCCTAGGCAGGCAAGGCAGGAAGCTTTAACCTCACTTGTATCCTTTGTATCCAGAAATACAAAGCAACTAAGAATTCCAGCCCTACCACTCGGCCTGTGAGCCGCAAATGTGCAATCAACGCTCGCAACGCCTTGACTGCATTGTTTACCTCCAGCAGCAGCAGTGGCCGCCCATCCAGCCAACCCAGCTCTCAGGACACAGCAAAAATGCCCAGCAAGGTGAAGCCTCGACCCCCCAACCCCTCTCTTCCCCCTCGGCGTTCAACCCGCCTCAAAACCTAATAGTTGTCCTGCCTAACCAGGGCCAGACCTGCTAATGTTTCCTAGGCATCTGTGGGGTAGATGTTCATATGGTTGGTGTTTTTATCCAAAATCCAATAAAAGACGGTCACTTGGCTGTGCAGTTGCCCAACACTGCATCAGGGTGGACAGAGAGGGGCATCCAAGGCAGTGTCTAGTGTCTGGGCAAGGATTCTGGGATGGAACCCTAAGACCCTTCACCTCTCTGGGCCTCAGTTTCCAGTGACTTCAAAGATCTTAATATTCAGTAATATGCATGGATGCCTTGTTGCTACCCCAAAATTACAGATGAAGAAACTGAGGCATTATCTAGGTCAGGTGACTTGCCCAGAGCAGGCAAACAGTCAAGACTTAACCCTAGGTATACGTTCTGGACCCGTTCTGGTCTCTGTCCTGTTGGACTTCATGGTAGTTGATGTTCAGGTATGGAGTTAAGATTAGGGGGTCCTTGCTGCTCAGGTTGAGCTCTTGGTTGGCTAAGGAAGTATACTCCTACCCCTGAATCAGACCAGCAGTCAAGGTGCCCATGCTGAGTGGCTTTTTCACTCATTTCTCATTTGGTGAGAAATGACCCTTAGAGACGCTGAGACCCTTAGAGGCAGACAACCAGGCCCAGTTACTGGTCAGCTGGAGGAGACTAGAGCTAGGAGGAAAAGCGGTGGTAAGGCTGCTCAGCATGTCATCTAAAGGGTCTCACCATGTAACCCTGGCTAGCCTGGAGCTTGCCATGCAGACCAGGCTGGCCTCAAACGCAGAGGTCCGCCTGCTTCTGCCTTCTCTGCTAGGATTAAAGGTGTGAGTCACCATGCACCCTGGCCAAGGTTGGTTATCTTGGAAGGCCCTAGCACCCAGAGAAATTGAGTGTATTTCACAAGAGGTGAGAGCATGTCTGACTCTGTCTCAGCTAGGCTGGGAAAGAGTTGCTAGCCAACAACACACCAGGTGGGGAGAAGGCTCTGATCTCACCTGTACCCTCTGGATCCAGAAATACAAAGTGGCTAATAACCCCAATTCTGCCATATGGCCCATGGGACATATGGCACATTACACTGCAATGTGTAATCAGTGTATCCCATTTGCCTCCAGTGGCCACTGGGGTCCTTGTCCTGGCACAGAGAGAAGAGTGGGGCAGTAGTGTGGGAGACCTCTTTAATATGGATGCTAAATCCTGGGTAGACTAAGGAGAGAAAAAGGGAAAGCAGACAAGTAGGTGGGTCATAGGACCCACACCTAGATCCAGGAGAGATGCTGGGCAGTGAGGACTGGTCCAGGCAGGTAGACCCACTGGAGGATCTGAAGGCCAGTCCCTGAAGTGTCTAAGCCTGGTCCAGGGAGACACAGGGGTAGAGCCTGGCTGAGGGTTCCCAGCACCTAGGGGCTAGCATCACTGGGGGTCTCCCCAAGCTGCTGCTGGAATTCCAGGCGCGTCTGCCGGTTGGACTCCAGCAGCTCCTGGAGACGAGCATGGAGATGGTCATTCTTCTCCTCAAGGTGGTCCAGACATGAGTTGATCTGGTCCAACATTGAGTTGATGGCGGCATACTCTGGAAGGAAGGAAAAGACAAAGCCAAGGTCCTGTGTTTCCTCAGGGCTTACAGACACAGTATACCCGTGTCCCCAGCCTGCTTCAGTGTCTGCATCTGAAAAGTGGGTGGGTACCTCAAGAGGGAAAGCTTCAAAGAAATAATACTTAGTACACCATCTTTTCTGTAGGGTTAGGGTGGCCCCAGGGCAGTCATCCAGCGCCCTGCAGCTGCCTAGAGGCCAGAGCCCATCAAGACCTGGGCAATCAGCCTCTGATCCAGGCATGCTCTGATCTCTAGCCTTTTTGTGGCTCCCTCTGCCTTCATGATAAAGCTGCCCAGCAGCTTTTCTCAGGTCCTGGAGGAGACCCAGCCCCATTCTCTTCTCTAGCCCCGTCTCCCAGCCCTCTTCTTTCCTCTTAACCCCTTCCTTTGCTTAATTCTGCCCCTTTGAATGTGTTGATGGTTTTGTCTGGAATGTGCTGGGTCTTCCTTTCATCCTTCCCCCCCATCTTCTCTGGAATAAGTACCACCTATCCCAAATCTCAGTATGGATGTCACCAGGGGAGCCTCCCAGTGTCCCCAACCTCACCTTCCACATCTGTGATTATCTGTGTGCTGGTCTGTTACCCCCTACCCCCACCCCCCAAACTCAACTATAAAGCTCTGTGAGCGGTGACTGGTCTTATCTTCTCTGCTGTCTCCCCAGTGCCCTCGATGATACAAAATAAGCACTTACTGAATGAGTGAATGAATGAATGATTGCAGCTCTGACTTTCCAGCCTCTGCTTTTGCTCAACTGTCTACCATCTAGAATTCATCACCCACAACAACCCGTCAAGGACCAGCTCAAAATGCCTCCTCTGAGAAGTCTTCCCTGGTCTCCCTCTTCTACAGCAACTCCTGATGGCCTCTTGTCAACAGTGTCCGTTAGGACCCAAGGTCTGGGCCTATGCCCACTGCAGGACCCAGCTCTGAGCCAGCCCATGACTCAGATACACTCAGCTGCCAGAGGGGAAGTGGCTGGTGGTAGAAAAGGCCCATGGAGGATTATCTGGGACACAAGTGCAAATGTATCTGACTTTGGGGGTTGGACTCCCCTCACCCAGAGAGGGTACCCCTTAAGAGGACAGGGAAATTGGAAGACTATTGATCTTAAAATCCATATCTTATGGTACAGGTGGGGAGACTGAGGCTTAAGAAGGAAGGCGCCTCTGCAGGGTGTGGTGGCGCACACCTTTAATCCCAGGACTTGGGAGGCAGAGGCAGCCGATCTTTGTGGGATCTTTGTGAGTTCAAGGCCAGCCTGGTCTACATAGTTCTAGGCCAGCTGGGGCTACTACAGGGAGACCCTGTCTCAAAAAGACCAAAATAAATTAAAAAATGAAGAACCATCATAGCTTCCTATAACTACTTAGTGATAGCTGAAGCTCAAGACTTGAGGGTTGGAGATCTTAGATTTGAGTTCTAGATCCGCTCTGCCCCCAGCAAGTTACTGCAGCTCCTTCCTGGAATGGGGGAGAAGTGAGGGTTCCATTCTATCAAGGATGCAGTCTAGCCACCGTAAGTACTTAATAGACAGCTGTTATGATCAATACCTCTCACTGTGTCAGGCTAGGAAAAGGACTGGGCTATCTCTAAATCAGGTACCATCTCCAGGCCAGGCTTTATCTTGTCAAGGTTACTTCCCAGCCTTTGCTCCTGCCCTGGGGCAAATACTTCCTCCCCACCATTCTATGAGTCTGCCAACATCCATTTAGTGTGCCCACCTGGGGTGGCCCTTCGTGATGCTCCCACAATGGCTGACAGCAGTAACATCTAGCTACTATTCCCAAGCATTGACCAATGCAAGCCTATTAAGAGCAGACCCTGGGTGATGAAAACATTGTAAAAATAGCCAGGTGTGGTAGTTCACACCTTTGATCCCAGCACTCTGGAGGCAGAGGCAGGCGGATCTCTGTGAGTTCAAGGCCAGCTCAGCCTACAAGGAGACCCTGTCTCAAAAAAGACCAAAAAGAAAAGATTCTAAAACTATTATGACAGTGGATGCTCTGAATATATTAAAGCCTTCGGACTGTACAATTTAAATGGATAAAGTACAGTGTAAATTAGAGCTCAATAAAGCTGCTGTAACAAATACATAACCCACCTTTGACACTAAGTCCAGTCCTCACAGGTCTTGACTTCACTGTAAGTGCAGTACTCACTTACAGAATGAACCCAGCTTGGTTAAATTTCCCCTTTAACCTTGCCACATCTCAGTGCAGGAGCCGCTAATCAGACATGGGAAAACTGAGGTTCCAGAACGTGCAAAGGGAATCTCTGGCTGAGGCTGCTCCTGCCCTTCGGCAATACCGAGCTCCGGAAGCAGATCACAGCGGGGTGCTGACTCAGCACAGTGGGGAGCCCACCCAGGCAACCCCCTCCGGCTAAGCCAAGCCGGACTAACTCGGTCCCGCCCCCCTCCAGCGAAGAAAGTGGCTGGAGCAAATCCCAAGCCGACAAGCATCTCCAAGGTTGCCTGTTTCCCAGATGTAAACTGGTTACCCACAGTTCTCCAAGGCTGCGGTTTTCCAGGGATGCGTTAGCCACTGCTCGCCCAGAGCCTCCGAGATGGCGGTGGGACAACGCCAAGGCCACCCAGGGGCGGCGTGGAGGGCGCTTAGGTCCCCGGCCAGCCCCCCTCGCCCCCATCCTGGCCCCATTCCCAACCCCAGCACTGTACACCCTGGAAAAGCAAAGGTCGCCCCAGCAGCCGCCCCCTCCCGGGTCACCTGCTTCCCCGAAGCTGTCAGCCTCGCTGTCCGTGCCCGCCTCCACTGGCATGCCCAGGTCCCCGTTGGGGCCCGACATTGCGGGCTGGGGCGCCGCAGGGGCCACGCGTGGATGGGACTTAGGGACCGCCGCGCGCAAAGCCGGGACCCGGCGGAAGGCGCAAGCAGCGGAGGGAACGCAGAGCCGGAAGGGTGGAATGCCGCGACGGCCCGCCCCACCTTAAGCCACACCCACAGAGGTGGACCCGCCCCTTCTCCCCAGCCCCGCCCCTCTCCCTGCAGCTGGGCAGAGCTGTTCTGACAATAGAATGACCCGCCCGCCACAGCTTGGGACCTCTACTAGACCCCTTCCTGCTGCTGCTGCCCCTCATTTGGGCACAATCAGACAAACGGCTTCCAAGGCCTTCTATAGCTTCGGGAAGTTTCTCTTCACAGCACCCTGATCACTGGGGATCCGCCTCTCTACCTCCCCCAGCTGTGCCTCGATGACCCCACCACCCCTATCCTGGGCCTCCTTGATCTTTT